CTTTGTCTTCAGCGATTGTGTCTGGAAGATGAGCATCATGGAATGCCAGTTTAATAGAACAAAATATTCTTGCATTGAGGGAGTATTTGAGTGGAGGCCCAATGTTCATAGGCTACCTTACTCCTAAACCCATATATATATGCACCTAGATCTATTTCCCCATCATCATATATAAATATATTTACATATGTACATAACTTTATTTAGACCTCTATAAATGCCCTTTGCCTCCTAGCTCTTTCCTCTATTTCCTTTTACTTTCCTCTTGTCCCACTATCATGCTCAGTCTTCATTTGGGTTTTAGTAATTCCTCTTGGTCACACCCTACCAGGCCTCATACACCCTCCTTACCACCAATTTGGATCACTTGTTCTTCCTTTGTCCTTGGGTTTGTTAACACCACTACCTTTCCCCCCACCTCCCCCTCTCCCTTGTCCCCCGGAACTATCGGTCCTGTTGTTTTCTCCTCCAGATTGTTCCGCCTATCTTCTTTAGACAGACCTGCGGAGGTAATAACATGCACAAAAACAAGACAGAGCAAAACCCAGCAACAAAAGAGAACAACAACAAAACCAATGTCAAAAAAACCCACAGCACAGCAACAACAAAAAGAAAAGCTTGTAGTTAGTTCAAGGACTGTTTTTTAGACTTTAGGAGTGTTTTGCAGCCCAGTCTGATGGGGTGCCAACACCTGGCCCCAAAGTCTATTTTTGGTATTCTCTGGGGCCTTCGTTGTACCTGTATTTTTACAATCACAACAACAACAACAAAAAGCAGTATCTCAACCTTATAATAGTGAGAAATAGCTTGCCTGTTTAAAAACAGAAAATGGTTAAATAAGTTATGGTATACTCATATAACTGAGTACCATATATAATTAAGATGTTATTTTGGGAAAATGATAAAATTAATCATATTGAGCAATAATCTTGCTATATTGAATGACAGAGTTATAATAACAGTGTAGTTCTATCTTGTGATATACACACGTGTGTGTACATGGATGGGAACCAACAAAGTGGGTAGGCAGTTGCATGGTAAGTATCCCTGCGTCGTGGGGTTATAGCTACTCTATTCTTGGTCCTGACTTTCCAACAGCCAGCATGCACAGAAAATGCCGGGTAAGTGTTAGTTTCTAAGACTTCAGTGGTCACTCGCTGGTGGTCATTCAAGGGGCTCTACCACTAGACCTTGAGTCCAAATTCATTTCAGGAGTTTTCCTGGGAAATGATCCGGTGTGTCCTCATTCGGCCCTCCGTGGTGTGTCTGTGCCGTCAGCAGCTGACCTTTGCGCTGAGCTGCCACTTTGTGCTTTGTGTTTAAGATGCCAAACAAAGCAAAATCAAATGGCAAATCATAGTTGTCCTCTCTCCGTAGCCATGATTTTCAGTTACACCAGTGTTCAAGCAAATCTGTATTCAACTAAACCACTTGCAGGTCATTTTCAAGGAAAACGTTGCGAGAAATGAGGCCACCTATTTTATCACAATTTAAATGTAAGATGTTTCACTAGACGTTACACCTATAATTAAGAAATGACTGTTCTCACATGGCTTGCCTTCCATTTACTTGTAGTTTTGATTCCGACTAACAGTGATCGTCCTCCCCGTCCGTGGTGCGTTGCGATTCCGTATCAAGGTTCAGGAGGTGCGCTTTGTTTCCCCACAGAAAGTGGACCTCTTCAGCCTGGGGATCATCTTCTTTGAGATGTCCTATCACCCCATGGTCACAGCCTCCGAGAGGATCTTGGTTCTCAACCAACTCAGAGATGTAGGTATCAGGTGTGTGCTCGTGTGCATTCCCACTGATCCAGATCTCACCGGGGCGGTCAGAATTGAAGGCAGGGTGTGTTTCTGGCCCTTCTTCTAGAGAAGAGGCTGCTCCACTCTAGTTTTAATGACTTACTCGCCAGGCTCACCAGGTCTCCCTTTTGCCGTAAAACATTTTCTCAGCTGGGGAAGTCACTTCACGTCAGGTCTGAGAAGCAGTGGTTTTGCTAGCCAAAGACTGTCCCTACTTAGAAGGGCTCATTCTGGGCTCTCTGTATGCCTGTCAGTGGAAATCTTTCTCTGCTACTTGCCTCCAATGATTAGAAACGGTTCCTGGTTTTGTCTTTTTCTAGAAATCTTACTTGCAAAAGGTGTCCCTGGGTGGTGAAAGTGGTTTGCAATGGTCTGCTAGCCTAAAGGTTGGTATTTGAATACCCCCATGGTGCCGCAGAGGAGAGGCCTGGCAATCTGTTTCTGTAAAGATTAGCGTTGGGCCAGGGTGGGGGGGGGTAGGTACCCTATGGAGACACTCTACTCTGTAACACATGACTTCACCATGAGTTGGAATCCACGGCTTTTTAGTTTTTACCCCCCAAAATTGCTAGCTTATAATTACTTTCTTTAAAAGAAAAAATTATTCTGAGAGAGTAAATCTTGATTTCTAAACAAAGGAGGAGTCCAAACAAACCAACCAAAAACTCCTGTGTCGATACATTTACCGCAGGGAGGATGGGCAATCAAGACAATGAAAACTTCTTTCTAGAAGCGAAACATTACAGCTGACCAAACTTGAGGTAGTAACACCTAAAGTAGACCTTGACCGAAGTAAGCAGGTCCCTGGGAGAATATCAGTCCCTTCATTTGTGTCCTTGGGATTAATCTTTGCCCTGTCATTGCCCAAACCAGAAGGGACAAAGTAAGGTGACAGTCAGTGAGATAAGAGTGGGCATTGGAAAATGACATCAGGGTTTCAGTGGAGAGGAAGGTTTGGGTGCGGATGGCTTAGATTCAGAAGTCTGTGAGCAGCGAGAGGACTGCAGCGTGCCCGCGCTCCTCTTCCTAGTGCTCCTCTTCCTCGCGCTCCTCTTCCTCGCGCTCCTCTTCCTCGCGCTCCTCTTCCTCGCGCTCCTCTTCCTCGCTGAGCAGAGCCAAGCAGGAGGACCTGTTAGGTTAAACCATGCGTGCCTCTAGATATTTTAAAAAACGCTGTTTTAGTGTTCAAGCAGTGTGAGCAGCTGCATTCATATTCAGAGGCAAGTCAGAAGGTATTGCCACAAGAATCATAGAAGCCTTTATGAAACAAAAATATCAAAATGTGAAGCTGTTATTTCTTGGTCTTGGCATGCCCTCTGTTTGCGTCTACATATTCTGAAGACGGTATTTCCCTCTCTCTTAGCCTTCCCTGAAGAATTCTGTGCCATTGGATTTGTACAGTGGCAGTTTTGACATCCTCAAAGGACTCAAGTCATGTGCCTCTAAAATATTCTTTGAGTCTGGGGAGCAAAAAAGACATGTGAAGACCAGGCTGTAGGTGGGGTGGGGAGGTTTCCAAACCAGACGGTGCCTGCTCTGCTCTCAGAGAAAGAGAAGGTGCTTTGTTGTGATGGGAAAATGCCTTCTTGCAACTTTCCTAGTCGTCTTCCCACACAGTTTTCAATTCTCTTAAAACTTCCTCATAACAAGCCGCCATGTGTCCTCTGAAAAATCCTACTGAGGTGACCTCGTGGGAACCTCGAGAAACAGACACAATAGCCTTCGAAGCTGACCTTCTCCTTGAATGTAACTAGCCCAGTAGATGCCCATGGAAGGCACCGTTCTGATAGAACCTTTTTTCAAAGGTGTCCTAGTGACCCTGAGACAAAGGTATGGCTGGAAGAACCTGTCCACAGCCATCGCTGATCACAGACATGTGTTAAAAATGTCTTGTTTAGAGTCAACCCCATGTAGAAACAGAATGTTTAAAAATGGATGGTGATAGCAATTGGAAACTCTACTGGGAATGATATGATATATGTATTAAATCCCAATTAATAAAAAAAAATGTTAATGAATAAAACCCATGCATGTGTGAACTGAAACCCCTAGTAACGGTACTTTTTTACTTACTCTCCATCTTTTGGAAGAATGGACAGCGGGTTCCACCCGTCTGGGTCAGCGGGATTTTACTTCTGTATTGACTTTTCTGGCTGCTGGTTGATCAGTGCTTACATTGTGGCCAGCTGGCCAGCGTTTGCTAACCTGAATGTCATGTCCTTGTAGGCCACTTCGCCCAGGTTTCCAGAAGACTTCAATGATGGAGAGCATACGAAGCAGGTAACTGCCCGGTGATTTACCTGCCGCCCCTTCGCCCCTTCACCCTGCTTCTCTTTCAATGCCTGCCCTTCTGCCCCGCTTCCTCTTGCAACCTGGGAGCAAGGTGGGGGGAATATGAAAAGATGAATCCCCTAAATGGTATTAGATTTGAAATAGACCATAAAAACCGTCGAGGGCTATTGTAGAAAATTACTGCAAACCCCAGGGTTCCTTTGTGTGCCTTATGGTGGTGCTGTTGAAGTGCTATTTGGCCCGTGGCTTCTCTGTTGTGAAAAAGAGTGCAGCACTCTGTTTTAAAAAAGCAAGAAAAAGAAACAGCTTGGGGCTTGGAGAAGGAAAATGTGTGTGCTCTGGCTGCAGGTGCTCAGTCTGTCAAAAGGGGGGGGGGTTGCAATCTCTAAGCAATCTGGTATTGCCTCCACACCACAAACGTGTGTGTGTGTGTGTGTAAATCCTGCTGCTGATACTGGCTTCTCACTAATAATAAAGTGAAATGTGTATTGTGTGGCTGTGTGTGTGTGTGTGTGTGTGTGTGTGTGTGTAAATCCTGCTGCTGATACTGGCTTCTCACTAATAATAAAGTGAATGTGTATTGTGCGGCTGTTGTCCGGTCTCAGGGGTGATTGACTTTGAGATTAACAGCCCAACTTGTAACCACTATGACACCAAGCAACAGCCGGGAGTTATGCAGTTCAAAACCACCAGCCACTCCTTGGGGGAAAGATGAGGCTTTCTACTCCCGTCAGTGGTTCCAGTGTCAAGCACCCACGCGCAGATGCACCCTGCCCTGCAGGGTCGCTGGGCGTCACGGTGGGCTCCATGGCAGGAGCCCTGGTTTCTCCCTTGGGCTCAGCACCAAGTCTGCGTTGCGTTCTGGAGTTCCACACCAGTGCTCCCTCGTTATCTCAACCGGGACTGGCCGTCGGGAAACAATGAATCATGTTTCTACAGGTTCTGTTCACGATTATCACTTCCATAGAGTCCTTAAAAAAAGAAAGAGCCCTTTCTGGGTTTCTAGATGTCAGAAGTTAAGTGTTCATTTCATGACTTTCATCTAACAAGATTCGTCTGCCTCACTATCTTCACAGCTCTAAGCAGCTCCAAGTCAGAGTCTACTCAATGGCAGTGGGCAGTTGTGGGGCGAAGTGGTTATTTTCTATACATCGAAAGCTGTCGAGGCACATTTAATGACCCAATTAATATCGCTAAGCCAAAAACTCAGGCTTATGGCAAATATTTGAATGCAGGCAGTGGGGCATAAAGTCTTCCCATGCCCATCTACTATTTGGTGAAGATAAGAGAGGAGTTGGATGCTGAGACGGGAAGAAGTAGAGCAAATAGGAATGCCTGCTTCTATAGGGAGATAGAATCACTTTCAGGCAGCACGGTTTTAAAGGGAGAAACTGTGGAAATGATAGACAACCACAGGAAAATGTACTTGGACTTTATCTCCAACTACCAGAGTGGCGGTCTTCCTGCCGTGGAACCCTAGTCTTCCAGATTCCCTCCGTACCAGTCAGGCAGTAAGTCCCAGTTCTATTTCCCTCAGCGTTCCTTTCCCACAGGCAGGGAGTTTGGGTAAATGTTGGACTGCTGACCACAAGGCAGTTCCAATCCACCCACTGGCTGTGAGTGGAAAAAGAAAGCTGTGTGCTCTTCGAAAGACTGGGGAGCAGTGCTAGCCTGTTCTCTGAGGTCCTCTGAGTCCCAATTGAGTTGACAGCCGTGCGTTTTTGAAAGCCATTGTGGCTCAGGAACTTTTGAAAACTACAAACTGCTAACATGAGAGCATTTGTGTTTTTATTTCAGCTAAGACTGGGGCAGGGCATGGGGGGAATAATCTTTAAAGACGTAGTTAGCAATTGAATAAGCATCTAGAAACCAAAGTTTTCTGATCTCTTAAATGGTCCTCTAACTCCTTATAACTCCTTGTTATAAACAAGAGAATTAGCAAGCTTTCAAAGGTTTAGATGGTCTTCAAATGGCTCCCCGCTTAATGCGGTGTTGGGAGTGCACGAAAACAAATGAGTAACATAAATTAAGAGAATGATGATGAAAACATAAAATGCAAAAGCAAAATGTTTTATGTCGTTTTAAGGATTTCCGGCTGTATGCGTCGTCATTTCTACCAAAAGGAGACATCTAAAACAGTTTGTTTTTGTTCTTTTTTTGCCCAGTGTTGTGTTATGCTGCTTCTACAGAGTGGCTGAGTTGAACTTGTCTGGCTTGTGACAATAAAATGTAAACGCGAGCCTCACCTTTTACGAAACACTCATACTGCCTTGTCACGTGACTGTCATAATGAAGTCTAGAGGCCTCTGAAATACCAGTTACCATGCACCCAGGGCAGTTAATACACAGGGTATCCTTCGTTCAGCCCAGACCAACCACGGCTGTGTCAGCATGTGTATTCCCACTGCCTCCCATCAGCGGTGTGCCTGCCTTTCCCTCCAGAAATGCGTCATCTCCTGGCTGCTGAACCATGACCCAGCCAAGCGGCCCACAGCCATGGAGCTGCTGAAGAGCGAACTGCTGCCCCCGCCCCAGATGGAGGAGTCCGAGCTGCACGAAGTCCTGCACCACACCCTGGCCAACGTGGATGGGAAGGCCTACCGCACCATGATGGCCCACATCTTCTCCCAGCACATCTCGCCTGCCGCCGACTTCACCTATGACAGCGACATCCTCAAGGTGCGCCGAAGCCAGGCTGCACCAAGCAAGCCTCACCTGGCCCACCAGAGGACCAGGCCGGGCCCTTTTCCTAACAGGTCTTTTCTTCGTGCATATAGAGCAACCATGGTGTCAGGGCACCATCCAGACAGCATACAACTCAGTAGTTCAGCCAGATCTGCAAGCGTTGTATCATTGCTACCACAGTCAGTTGAGAACATTTTCGTCCTTTTTTTCTTTTGTTTTTTTCCAAAAGACTACCTTCGGGTCATTAATTTTTAGCCTTGCCTCTAGATTTGCTTATGGGGTCTTTGCCTTTCTTTCTTCTTATTATTATTATTATTTTTTAATCATTTTGTTGGGGGCCATTTTCTTCCTTCTTGTACGCCTTGTTTTTTTGGGGGGGGTTTGTTTTGTTTTTAATTGTTTTATTAGGGGCTCATACAACTCTTATCACAATCCATACACACATCAATTGTGTAAATCACATTTGTACATTCATTGCCCTCATCATTCTCAAAACATTTGCTCGCCACTTAAGCCCCCGGCATCAGGTCCTCATTATTTCCCCTCACTCCCCACTCCCCTCTCCCTCATGAGCCCTTGATAATTTATAAATTATTATTTTGTCATATCTTGCCTTGTCTGACGTCTCCCTTCATTTTTTTTTGTTTCTTAATTAAAAGATCATTTTATTGGGGGCTCTTACAGCTCTTACAACAATCCATACATCATCGTATCAAACATATTTGTTCATAGGTTGCCATCATTATTTTCTAGACATTCACTTTCTATTGAGCCCTTGGTATCAGCTCCTCTGTTTTTCCTCCCAAACCCTCTGCCCACCCTCATGACCCCTTGATAAATTGCAGATTATTATTTCCATATCCTCATATTATTTTCATCACCGACCCCTGTCTCCCCCCCATGGTTTCTGTTATTCTTAGCTCCTAATTTGCCCCCAACCTCCCTGCCATCCCTCCCACCTCCACTCCCTGTCCCAAACCCTTAATCTAGTTATTGTCTCTCTAGAGTCACCCATCCTGGGTTTCATGTACCGGAAGACACAGAACAATACATAAACAAGGGTCAAGAGGGCTCCCAGGAATAACAAAATACAACAGGGCCAACCCCCAGTTAGAAAACAGAAAAAAATGTTAAACTAGAGAAAACTCTCAACTGTATCAAAGGGGAGATCATCATATGAGAAAGCATTGGATTTTAACCTAGTTACCTCTACCAGAGTCCGCCTGCCAATGTGTTCTGTAGACAGCAAGGCCTTTCACGGCCCTGGTCTGTGATCAGGGGGATCTCGCCAGAAGCTTCATCCACATTTTTGTTTTGTTTCGTTTTTAAACTGCTCTTGCTTTGAGATGTGTGCGAAAGAGGATCCAATCAAAGTCCACCTAAATCCTTAATAGAAAGTCCATGAAGCCCTGACTGTATAGGCAGAAGCTAGGTATGCGCTTCTTAATGTGGGGAGAAGAGCCGCACTTTTAGTCATTCATATAAGGAGTTCTTTTTTTTTTTT